GCAAGACACAAAAATTATTTATTTTCTTCTCATAAAGTTGTGAGAATTTTTTCAGAATTTTTTAATACCGTATTTTCTCATGTTGAAAAAAATAAGAAAATGCAGTATTAAAAAGCTGATAAAAAATTCTGAAAAAATTCTCACAACTTTATGAGAAGAAAATAAATAATTTTTGTGTCTTGCAGTTTTTCTGTAAAGTTGATGGTATTTGAGTAAAAAATTATTCAAGACTAATATTTTGCAATTTTTAGTAATTAATATCTTGTTAACTACTGCGAAAATTACAAAATGGTAGAGGACTTTTCGACTCAGTTTAATCCGCTCTATGAATACAAAAGTGATTGGCAAAAAAGATCTGGATCCCCTGTACAAGAATACGCCGAGCGGCCGAGAAGGTACATTTTCGGTTTTCGGTCGCTTGTAACGAGCGACCAGCAGAGAAAGCGAGATAGAGCGGCCGTCCTTTTCGCTCTAATACCCGCATGTGTTTACGATTTACTGGTAGAGCGAAAAGGACGGGCGCTGCTTCTCGCTGCCTCGCTCGTTCTCGCGGCCGACTCGATGCCGGTAGATGGGGGTAAAAGTGGTGGGGCTGGATTCCGTGTTACCGTGGAGCCAAATGTGCATCACTGGTTGACAGGGCCCTCTTAGGGTGCGTTCCACTTATCGCTCGCAACGCTCACGCTCGCAACGCCGCGATCACCCGTTCCACTAGCATGAGCGTTGCGATTAGTGGAACGAGTAAAGAGCATCGTGATCGTGATCATTGTTGATCGTGATTTGTATACCTTAGGTTATCTTTGAAGGACACAATAAATATGGAAAAAATAACTTTATACGATAATGAAAATGATAAAATGTATGATATTACGTTGTCTCCCGATGATGCTCGACGTGCTGCTTCAGGTAAGATGATAAATGTCAATTATAACCTACTAATATAGATATTAGACATGATTCAATATTACATAACCTTTTATGTAATATTATTATAAGTAAAATGCTTTAATTTTATATTGTGATATTTATATTAGACATATTTGCATAAAAGAATTATGTAATTTTGAAAACATTTATTATATTTACAGATATTACTTTTGCTACATCTCTCTTAAGTGCAGCAATTTTACAGCAAAATCAAGAAAATAACATACAAACTGTAGCTAATGAAATTGCAACAACTGCAGTAGATAATAATTTGTCAATGGATGGGAGTGAAGAAGGTAAATTAAAAATATTAAATTTCTTATGGCTTCAGGCTTAAAACCCTATTGTAGATCCGGACCAAGAATTTCAGAATAGACCTGCTGGATCTCTTGCTTCATGCGAGGCTTTATTCCATTGCTTACAATACATATTTTTGCAGGGTCTTTATATCGATGGACTGATACATGTGTTATCTTTTTATTACGAACGTATCAAGAAATGGAAAAAAAATTTACTAGCGGAAAGATTTCACACAAGAAGTGTTGGGAACAGATTGCGAAAATTATGAAAGATAAAGGATATAATATAACAGGCCCTCAATGTTCCTCAAAATTAAGAAGTTTAAAGAAGACATACAAATCAATAAAAGATCACAACGCCAAATCTGGCAACGAACGACGAACTTGGCAGCATTATGAGGTTCGAAATAATTTTTCATGATATTGTTTTCTATCTAAGCTGATTTATGTGCGCGCATATATACATAATTTTTTTATATACAGATTATGGAAGAAATATTTTCCAAGAAAGCTTGGTGTAATCCAATAGCGCTTGCTTCGTCTACGGGATTATCTGTAAAGAATACAGACAATGAAAATTCTACAGCTTCGTCATCGGAGATGTCATATACTAGTGATCTTAGTCTGCTTAATGATGATTTAGTAAATAAAGAAAACATTTCAAGTAATACAAAAACTTCGCGACAGTCCACGACTGGTCTTCTTCAAAAAAGACTGGCTCAAAAAGAAACGCATGAACAAAAGCGACAAAAACGCCATGAACAAAAAATGGAGATGGAACAAAAATTAATTGATACTCTTGCTCAATATTTGAATAAGTGATTATAAGTTACATTTGCGTATTGTACTTTTTCTACTTTATAACTATATTTTTTATAAATTTTTTATCATATATGGAGACATTAAGTTTCGATGTTTACGTTTATGATATCACTTTATTTTTATGTTTGTTGAGATCACTTTATTAATTTTATTAACTTATTATTTTAGGGTAATAAGTTTATCTAATTAATTACGAAACTAGTGCCAAAGAATAATTAAGTTTCGATGTTTACGTTTGTGATATCACTTTATTTTTATGTTTGTTGAGATCACTTTATTAATTTTATTAACTTATTATTTTAGGGTAATAAGTTTATCTAATTAATTACGAAACTAGTGCCAAAGAATAATTTTAGTTACAAAAATTTTGAAAAGAAAAAGAAAGCTACTAAAGATTTATTAGTATAGAAAGCAATTAAAGACTTATTGATACAGAAAGTCCTTCATTTTAATGTTTTCCTTTTTTATATTGTATCAAATACATTGTAGTACAAATATTATAAAAACTTTTTAGCTATTAATAATTTATAAAAACGTAGTAAATATATGTGAATTATCAAGATATAAAACAGTAGATATACAATGTACAATGAATAAAACGTACTTAAAAATTATATATTCAGGAATTTATTTATTTATTTGATCCAACTTCTCCATAACACTCGTCGGTGTGGTTGAATCCAGTGAATTTGATTCTAATCTATTATTACGCTTACTCTCATAGATAATCTCTACCACGTTCACTCCCATTCTTTGAACTTCCTTGGGTAACGTTTGATTCGTAACATTGACTACTGTACGTAGGTGTCCGTTTTAAAGATAATATCTAATAAAATATATTTTGTATACAGAATACGTATTGAAGTTTTATTACATGTATAAGTACATATATATATACATATACATGTTTTGTGAATAATTAATATACAGGGTAAAAATGTTTGTAATAGATAAAATTTATGTAACTTTTTCTGAAGAAGCGAAATCTGCAATAAAAAATGGGGGTTCCCATTTAAAATTTTAAACTTACCCCATCTTTCACCTATGGCGGGGGGGGGGGGGGGGCATGTTAGATGTCAAAAGATAGCTTTTTTGAAAACATTGAATACGTATATTTTCAGATTTCTGATCCGATGTGTATTTCTCGAGATATTCGACCGTTTCCACACTTTTCGGACACCATGTATATAAACATACACGCACGCGCACGCGCGCACACACACACACCTCTCTCAAAAAGACATTAGACATTAACGTTTTACATATTTTAAATGATTAACCAATTGATTTAATTAATTATTTTCTGCACGAAAATATTAAAGTATACAACTGTTAAAAATAGTTTATGAAACATTTTATACCTGAATAAAGTGTAATATATCTCGTAAACTAATATTATATATAAATATTTTGACAAGTCTATCTTAATACTTTTGCATGCAGATTAGGAAGATCTTTTCAAATTAAACAACTTTTTTTTTAATGTATTTTATATTTAATGTAATTAACCTTCAAAAATAATTAAGGAACGTGATAGATTAAACTAGAACTCTGATGTGTATGCACACACACACGCGCACAAACACGCGCGCGCGTAAATATATTACAGTTATATATAACCATTGATAAATTAATTGTCAAGATAAAAATAGAATTCATACAATAATAATTCATTATTATTATTA